TCAACATCATCAACCAAGACCCCCAACATCATCAACCAAGACCGTCAACATCATCAACCAAGACCATCAACATCACCAACCAAGACCGTCAACGTCATCAACCAAGACCATCAACATCATCAACCAAGACCATCAACATCATCAACCAAGACCGTCAACATCATCAAACAAGACCATCAACATCATCAACCAAGACCGTCAACATCATCAACCAAGACCGTCAACATCATCAAACAAGACCATCAACATTACCAACCAAGACCGTCAACATCATCAACCAAGACCATCAACATCATCAACCAAGAATGTCAATCAGGTAAACCAAAACTGTTAACCAGATCAACTAAGATTGCCAGCCAGGTCAACTAAGATCATCAACATCATCAACAAAGACCATCAACATCATCAACCAAGACCATCAACATCATCAACCAAGACTACCAACATCATCAACCAAGACCATCAAAATCATCAACCAAGACCATCATCATCATCATCAACCAAGACCATCAACATCATCAACCAAGACCATCAACATTACCAACCAAGACCGTCAACATCATCAACCAAGACCATCAACATCATCAACCAAGACCGTCAACGCCATCAACCAAGACCATCAACATCACCAACCAAGACCGTCAACGTCATCAACCAAGACCATCAACATCATCAACCAAGACCATCAACATCATCAACCAAGACCGTCAACATCATCAAACAAGACCATCAACATCATCAACCAAGACCGTCAACATCATCAACCAAGACCGTCAACATCATCAAACAAGACCATCAACATTACCAACCAAGACCGTCAACATCATCAACCAAGACCATCAACATCATCAACCAAGAATGTCAATCAGGTAAACCAAAACTGTTAACCAGATCAACTAAGATTGCCAGCCAGGTCAACTAAGATCATCAACATCATCAACCAATCAACATCATCAACCAAGACATCAACATCATCAACCAAGACTACCAACATCACCAAGACCATCAACATCATCAACCAAGACCATCATCATCATCAACCAAGACCATCAACATCATCAACCAAGACCATCAACATTACCAACCAAGACCGTCAACATCATCAACCAAGACCATCAACATCATCAACCAAGACCGTCAACGCCATCAACCAAGACCATCAACATCACCAACCATGACCGTCAACGTCATCAACCAAGACCATCAACATCATCAACCAAGACCATCAACATCATCAACCAAGACCATCAACATCATCAACCAAGACCATCATCACATCATCAACATCAAGACCATCAACATCAAGGACACCAACATCATCAACCAAGACCATCAACATCATCAACCAAGACCATCAACATCATCAACCAAGACCATCAACATCACCAACCAAGACCATCAACATCATCAAACAAGACCATCAACATCACCAACCAAGACCATCAACATCATCAACCAAGACCATCAACATCATCAACCAAGACCACCAACATCATCAACCAAGACCATCAACGTCATCAACCAAGACCATCAACATCACCAACCAAGACTGTCAACGTCATCAACCAATACCATCAACATCATCAACCAAGACCATCAACATCATCAACCAAGACCGTCAACATCATCAACCAAGACCGTCAACATCATCAACCAAGACCGTGAACATCATCAACCAAGACCATCAACATCATCAACCAAGACCATCAACATCATCAAACAAGACCGTCAACATCATCAACCAAGACCGTGAACATCATCAACCAAGACCATCAACATCATCAACCAAGACCGTGAACATCATCAACCAAGACCATCAACATCATCAACCAAGACCGTCAACATCATCAACCAAGACCGTCAACATCATCAAACAAGACCGTCACCCAGATCAACCAAGAATATCAACCAGATCAACTAAGACTGTCAACTGGTTCAACCATGACTAACAACTAGGTCAATCAAGACTGTCAACCATATCAACCAAGACTGTCAACCATATCAATCAAGACTGTCAATCAGATCAACTAAGACTGTCATCCAGGTCAACCAAATCAATCACGACTCTCAACCAGGTCAATCAAGCTGCACAGATCTGGTAAAGAATTGTCAGCCAGCATCACGCCAGCCATACAACCTTTTCTGTATTGTTTTTTCCCCAACAAACAAACAAACAAACACACACCCATGCACGCACGCACAGACACACACACATGCACACACACACAATACAGCATAACAATTTATTACAACAGGCTTTAAAAAAGTAATTTCATGGATTCATGTTTAAACATTCTGTTTTGTGTTTATTAAATAATACAGTTTTGATTCAAGATAATTAAAGCAATAATTATAGCAACAACAAACAAAGAAAAACAAATCAGAACTATACAAAGAGAAAGAGGAAAACAAGAGGAAAAAATGTGTGAGCCCTTTGTCATGGCAAAGAAAGATATCAGAATCCACACCGAAACAGGCTGCTGGAGAATATAAGATATGGAGCCTATGCCAGCAGTAAGGCTGTTGGGAATAAGTCAAAGACCCTCTTCCACTCCTCTGAGCATATAGGGCATATAGTGCTTGACTTATATTTTTATAGACCAATCGGCACAAGATAGGTGATGTAGTCAGCACCACGCCGGCTGCCTTTACTTCCCAGGACTGCACCCAGTACCCACTCAAGGCTGGGTCAACCTGGGAGCCAAATTCATGTCTGGCTCTGCCAGGGAGCAAACCCACGACCTTCCAATCTGCAGCTAGCGCCTAGTCACTTCGCCACGGCAACTCCCCTTGAGGATAAGTGTTGACATAATTCCAAACTCACTGTGGCAGTCAATGTGACAAAATGGATAAACCATCTGCCCAGTGCTCTGTAGGTTCCAGGTTCAATTTTGGATTCCATCCCTCAGTTTGCTTGTGCAGGTGTTTCAGATATCACTAGGAATGATGTTAGAGCAATACAGTTTGATCTATAGTATAACACGTGGTGAAGTTTAAAACTGGAATGTTTTTGCATTTCTACACATTTCTCTTTCTACGAGAAAAAGAGAGCAGGATCATAAGAATAGAAAAATATCATTATTCTCACACTCCCTAACTGTCGCGCAGGTAGCAGAACATAAAAATAATCACGCAAGCGAGCGGTGAGAGGATAAGAAAAGAGGCAATGGTTACACCGTTCACAATAAAGAAACATGACTCCTCCGTAACATAGGAGAGGTTCAGAGACCTAAGTAGGCATGAATGGCATGGGAAGTTACTCTTATCCTAAAAACATGAACAGCACTGTTTACTGTATACAGTTTGCATAACAATGGAATGAAGGAGTTCATTCTCTACAGTCTGTGTAACAATGGAGTGATGGAGTTCATTCTCTACAGTTTGGGTAACACTGGAGTGATAGAGTTTATTCTTTACAGTTTGTGTAACACTGGGGCAGTACATTTGATTCTATACAGTTTGTGTAACACTTGAGCAATAGAGTTTAGTCTATATAGTCTGTGTAACACTTGAGCAATAGAGTTTATTCTTTACAGTTTGTGTAACACTGGAGCAATACAGTTTATTCTATACAGTTTGTATAACACTGGAGCAATACAGTTTATTCTATACAGTTTGTGTAACACTGGAGCAATAGAGTTTATTCTATACAGTTTGTGTAACATTAGCACAATAGAGTTTATTCTATACAGTGTATGCTCAAGCAATACAGTTTGATTTAAACAGTTTATGTAACAGTGGAGCAAAACAGTTTATTCTATACAGTTTAAGTAACACTGGAGCAATATAGTTTATTCTATACAGTTTGTGTAACATTGGAGTGATAGAGTTCATTTTATAGTTTGTGTAACAATCGAGTGATGGAGTTCATTTTGTAATATTAGAGTTTGGGTAACACTCTACTAGATGTTCGATCACTGAGGAGAGAGTGAAAAGCCATATGGGATCAAGTCTGGTGCAGTAAAGTCAAACCTATAGCCCTTACACACTATTTGTTTTAAAACAAACTCAACGTACAACTCAATTGCATGGATCGACAACAAATAAAGACGTCAACATTTAGCATTGAATGCAGCCAATATATTACAATTTCAGCTTATAATCAAATCAACTGAGCCTATGGGAAGACCAAAAATTAGATACACAGATGCTGAAAACATATATGCAAAAAATATACAAACACAATCCTAGCATAGTCCACATGAAATGTCAACACCACACTTATACAGACATAATCTCAGCTCAATTCGTATTAAATACTTAACACTACTGGCTGCTTTTACTTCCAAGAAAATTGTTTGATATCTATTTTAGGCTGATCAACTTGCTAACCATGGTCAATTTTCAATACCCCTATACATACACCTCTTTCATAAGCACTATAAATAAAAAAGCAAGAAGCTCTATCCACAAGAAAATACAATCACAAAAAATAATCAAATAATTGTCATAATTTTGTCAGTATAAAATCAAGATCAATGCAAAAATTACTGTAAGAATGACATAACACTTTTAAAGCGCATTAACATATAAAATATATGTGTGTGTGTGTGTTTTTGTGAATAGATATATAATATATATATAAATGCTCGGGCATACTGAGAGAATGTCAGATGAAGAGAGGTTATAAACTGCATAAAGAAGGGAGCTGAATGGTAGTAGACCACAGGACAGACCAAGAAGACGGTGGGGAGATAATATCCAGACAGACCTACAAACACTTGGTGCCACCAACTGGAAAGAGAAGGCCCACCTGAGAGATGAATTCTGGTGGGTGATATCTGCAGCAATGAACCTCCAGGGCATGTAATGCCGAAGAAGAAAAAGAAACAGAAGAAGAAAAAAGTTCAGTATCTGAAATGTTTGCCCAGTAAATAAATTAATACTAACTTGTCAATTTAAACACACAAACAAAAAATACATTGTAAACATAGTGTAATTACTTTGTGTATACATAAATCATGGTCAATGGAATATTCTCTGCAGCTCTGCTACTTCCCCTACTGAAGATTAAGATGGTCAGATTCTTTACAGCCATACTGAAACTTGTGCTTCTCAAACAGTTCCACTAAAGCCTTGCAATACTGGTCGTGGAGATCACTGACTTGATCATCTGTTGGTTCCTCTACTTTCTTTACATCTAATGGGGCACCCACTGAAAGTTAAAACAACATGATCTCATTAACAACAGGTATTTCTGTATCATGAATGTCGTGCCTGGGTTACCCAGTGAGTGTGTGCATGTTTTATGAAGGCTGAGAAGTCCTAGCTAGCAGTGGCAACTTTTACCAAACTCAAAGTTACAAATGTAAATTCCAGAGCATCAACCTCACTGTTCCAGTTTCTCCTACAATGCTTGGTCTCTCCATGAACTCCACAGCTCCTGTGACAATCCCTGGGGTTCTCTATAAAGACTTCACTCCTGAAACTAAATGTCCATGAAACAAAGCCCACAAGCATCACATTGTGATGCAAACAGCTTGACCACTTCACCACACAGAGACCTCCAAAGCAATGTTACCTTTCTGTCAAATTTACCAAAGAAGAAACAAACAGCAGACTGCATAGTTTATTGCCTGACCTTGTTGTAAACTTGCTTGTACTTTGGTAAACAGGCACTTACATTCAGTGGGGCAGCAAGATCATGTGGTACACCGTGCTGAAAATTTCCTGCCCCAAATGAATGACAGAGTGTCTACAACTTGAGTTTCCTATGATAGGTTCTGGATGCTCTCTCTCTCTCTATCTCTCTCTCTCTCTCTCTCTCTCTCTCTGTCTGTCTGTCTGTCTGTCTGTCTTCCTCTGTGAGTGTTGACAGGCAGCTGAAGTTTAGAGGTCAGTAAAGTGAAATATAAGATCCTTGTTTTAACATACTTAGGTGTATTGGGTATATAGTACTAGGCCTATATACTTTAGACCAATCATCACTCAGTGGGTGATGTAGTCAACATCTCACTGGCCTGCTTTACTTCCCAGGACTTTACCTTGTATCCTTTTAAGGCTGGGACATCCTGGGAGCCAAGGCGATTTTAAAACAAATTTGTATCCATGACCTACAGGTCTCTAGGCAAGCGTCTGGCCACTAGGGCTCTATGAAGGCTCAGTTACTTTACAATGTTATTGTGCCTTATACAGGGTTAGGCGTTAGACAGGGATGTGTATTATCACCTGATTCATTCAATTTGTACAGTGACAAAATAAATAGATCCATACATGGTGTGCCAGGATTATCAGTTGGTGGGCCTACTGTTAACAACCTGCGATATACTGTCAATATAGTTTTAATTGCTGAAAATGAAACACAACTGCAAGAAATGATTGATATAATTGTAACAGAAAGTGAAGACAGGAGTTTTTAGTTTGCACAGCAGAAAAACAGAGGTAATGGTAAAGAAAACTAACCCTCCAAAATGCAACAACACAGTAAATGGGACAAACCTCAAGCAAGTTGATATGTTTAAGTACTTGGGTTTCCTGATACCATCAGATGGAAGATGTATTAAAGAAGTTACATGTAGAATAGCTCAAGCAAAAGCAGCATTTTACAAAATGAATATTTTATGCAATCTTTCTTTGTCACTTGAGATAAGAAAGATAATTATTAAAAATCATGGACAGTTGGTAGATTAGTGACAAATTATTTGGAAGCTGCAGAGTGGTGATTTTATTGACGAATGATGAGAATTCTGTGGACAGATAAAAAAAAGTAATGAAGACGTCTTGAAAGAAACTGACTCACGAAGACAACTGACTGACCTCATGATAAAGAGACAGTCTACATTCATTGGTCATGTGATGAGAAGAAGAAAACTGGAGTGCATGGTGACAGTAGGAAAGTTGGAGGGGAGAAGAGGCTGAGAGAGACTGGGAGAAAAGATGCTGGACAGTCTGACATCATGGCATGGAGTATCATCTGTGTCAGAGTTGATTTAAAGTACACAAGACAGAAGGTTGTGGATGGACATGACTACCAACGCTACACGGCATGGACTTTCAGAAGAAGATACAGGGTTACTTAAACAGATCAAGGGCTCCATGGGATGGAGCGAAATAGAGGAATCAACTGCAAGTCCTATGTGACATGTAAACGTCACAACAGGATGATGATGACGATGACGATATGCAAAGCTATGCAGGAGATCTTTCAATCTTCTTCTTCTTCATTTCTCTAGTCTTGTTCTACTTTTCAGTGTTATAGTTTCAAAAGACACCTAGTGCCAGCCTGTGTGTTTTCAGCATTAGGACAATCCCACCCCATGAGTCAGCCTAGACTAGACAAAGCCTGAGTGCACTACTAAGGGTATGTTTTCAGCATTAGGACAATCCTACTTCACGAGTCAGTCTAGACTAGACAGGACTTGAGAGCACTACTGAGGGTGTGTTTTCAGCATTAGGACAATCCTACTTCATGAGTCAGTCTAGACTAGACAGGACTTGAGCACACTACTAAGGGTGTGTTTTCAGCATTAGGACAATCCCACCCCAGGAGTGAGTCTAAACTAGACAGGACTGGAGTGCTCTAGTGAGGGTGTGTTTTCAGCATTAGGACAATCCCACCTGACAAGTGAGTCTAGACTAGACAGGACTTGAGTGCACTAGTAAGGGTGTGTTTTCAGCATTAGTACAATCCCACCCCACGAGTGAGTCTAGACTAGACAAGACTTGAGTGCACTAGTGAGGGTGTGTTTTCAGTATTAGTACAATCCCACCCGACGAGTGAGTCTAGACTAGACAAGACTTGAGTGCACTACTGAGGGTGTGTTTTCAGCATTAAGACCATCCCATCCCTCGAGTCAGACACATCCAGTGTTAAGATGTAGTCCAGGTTTATGGCACATTCATACATCGAGGTCTAGCAAGTCTATCTCCATGCAATTAGGACATGTTGGGTGACATAGTGTTTTGTCTACAACTTCAGTATGCTAGTATTATGCTGGACATCTTTTCATCCCCAAATAACCATCTGGTACCAAATTTAAAAAAATTGGTCTATCCAACATCCACAGTAGTCATCATCATCATGTGGTAGGCTGAGAAGTTTTGGTGGTCATCTTTATCTTTTGTTTGCTTGAAACAGATTATCTTTATCTACAATTCTGTCTCTAGTATGGACTTCACTGTCTGTTTGATTCAATAAAATGACCTGTAAAGTTTGGCTTGCACCAGTGTTTCTCTTGGCCAAAAGTTTTGCCCTGACATGTTGTATCTAGGACAGTCTTGGAGGACCTGATCTGTTGTCTCAGGTGCCAATCAACATGTACACATGGCTGATTCACCACTCCTAAATTTTCTGTACATGTGGCTGCAAAGTTGATTGTGTCCTGTTCTAAAAGGTAGAATAATGACTTGTTCTGGTCTGTTCATTATATGGTAATTGTTTTTATCCTGGTTTTGGTGGCTTTCTAACTGATTTGATTTTTATCTTCTTCTGTTTATAAGAGACTGGCACGTCAGGTTGTTCTTCACTGGCACTTTCCTTAGCTAGTTTATCAGCTCTTTCATTTCCAGGAACTCCATAGGTGTGATAGTATCCAGTGTATAGCTAACTGATACTGGTTGCCCAGTTCAGAATGTAGTTTCTGAATACTAAGTAATTTTCCAAATTGAAGTGCCTGAAGTACCGCTCTTGCAGGTATTTAGCAGTTTCTCTGCTGCTATTTTTAACTTGAACTTCTGCATCATAGTTGTGACAGTGCTTTCCTGTTGGTATTTTGGCTTTACATCTGGTATTATTTGGATGCTCCAGATGAGTGGTTTTACTGCAGAGTCGTTGGGCCTGGTGGGTGAAATTGATGGCCATGGTTTCACTATCTTCAATAATCATCAGAAACATCTGCGTCTGTGTACTTATTTGCGTACATATGTGTACATATGGACAAGCTATTCCCTTGCTCTGTTTTTATCAAGTCTGTTGGATATCAATAAGTTTTCCTGCTGATTTCTCCTCATAAAATGTCCAATAGGTCTTCAATGAGCGTGCCTGCATTCTCTGATCAGTTTAGAGTTTTTATTCTGAAAGAAAAAAATCTACAACCTTAACAATGATTCAAACCTGGGTCTCCCACATAAGAGTCCTGTGTTCTTAACAATAGAAACTAAAGCATGAATAAAGATTACAATGACAAACTTAAAAAAACAAAACAAATCACCATTCATTAATGAAGACATACTCACCAACTGTATGGACTGGCCTACGAAAAGGCAGAAGTCCAAACGTATAATTAAAAATGCCTCTACCATGGAAAAGTGCTGGAGAAAACCCAAATAAATGAGTCAGGAAGTTCTGCAATCTTCTGACAAGTGACCCCTGTGGGTTAGGAATCTGTTCATAGAGGTCATTTTCTCCAAATGCAAACACTGGGACAATACCAGCACTGAAACAAGGCAAATTAGGAGACCATTAGCTGGTTAAATATAAGTAGAACATTTGTACATTGGACAATACCGGCACTGAAACAAGGCAAATTAGGAGACCATATGCTGGTTAAATATAAGCAGAACATTTGAACATTATCAACAAACAATTTACAGTTGGTATCTGATAGCTTATGTGTGCTTGCTAAGGAAACCACATTCTCTTCCCTTCTCTCTCTCTCTCTCTCTCTCTCTCTCTCTCTCTCTCTCTCTCTCTCTCTCTCTCTCTCTCTCTCTCTCTCACTCTCTCTCTGTGGGAAAAAGTGGAGAGTGTCTTTGAGAAGAGGACAATTGAGAAAACGTTAATATGGCATATGTGTGAGTGTGCATGTGCGCCTGTGTGTGAGTGTGCGCACGTGTGCGTGTGTGTGTGCGTGCGTGTGTGTGTGTGTGTGTGTGTGTGAGCGCGCGCGCGCGCTTGCACACCAGCACATGTGTCCTTATAATCTAGGCTGTGTGGTAATGACAATTATGCCTATCCACAGCCTTCAGTCCCGTGCACTGTCAATCCCCTCTGATACAGATGTCTTTTCGTGCCATAATGTCAAATTAACAAACAGAATATATGTTTACATTTAAGAGGATAAAAAGTAATTTAAATGTGGTGTAACAAACTCTATCCACAACTGGGAGTGGTAGCTGAACTTAAGAACCAATTTACCATGCTACTATTACCTCTTGTGTATGTTCTAGAAGTGACTTCCAAACATTTGTTTGTAGTATGACCCACATACGATATTTCTAATTCCACCATTAATACTTAAAACAAACATCTCTCTCCTGGTATTTAACTGAACGGTAAAAACCTCAATACCCATCTGTTCTCCAGGCCATGCCGGGGTGGTGGGTAATGAACAGGCAGACAGATTGGCTAGATCCCCACCACTAGGTGGTGAATTGATACATGACAGGGCAGATGTGGTCAAGGCCCTTTGGGAACAAGCAATAGAATCAGTAGAGAAAGAAGATTATTATGGCCTGGAGAGAATGAGGCACCTGGGTGTAACCAGAGGGTCTGGCCGGCTCACTACACTCAGAGGAAAGGCAAGACGGTCTTTTAACCAGATTGTATTGGAACTCTGGGCTGGCTGCTGAAGATGAGGATGGAGCATGCCTGGGAATGCCCCGAGTGCTGTGATGTCAATTCTTGACTCAACTCAACTCAACTCAACCCCCTCAGGACATTCCCACTGCCAACCAACTATGCGGCTGTACTGTCCGCTTTAGGAAAAAAAGTGACACAACTCTGTCTCTCAAGCTTTGGGAAACAAAGTGACACAACTCTGTCTCTCAAGCTTTGGGAAACAAAGTGACACAACTCTGTCTCTCAAGCTTTGGGAAACAAAGTGACACAACTCTGTCTCTCAAGCTTTGGGAAACAAAGTGACACAACTCTGTCTCTCAAGCTTTGGGAAACAAAGTGACACAACTCTGTCTCTCAAGCTTTGGGAAACAAAGTGACACAACTCTGTCTCTCAAGCTTTGGGAAACAAAGTGACACAACTCTGTCTCTCAAGCTTTGGGAAACAAAGTGACACAACTCTGTCTCAAGGAAGACACTTACCCATGTCTCAGTGCTAGCTTGCAGAATCCCTTCCGAGATTTGATTTTCAAGGTGAAGCTGCCTGGACGTGCCTCAAGAGCCTCCAGGGCACCTCCAATCATAATGCAAACGGCATTTCCCGTACCTTCTTTCGTGAGCACCCACTCCACGCTGGGTCGTGAAACTTCGATGGAACCTGCATAAACAATACCATTGTTATACACTAGCAATAGCTTCCGACAGACATTGCAGGTATTACAGCTCTTCTTCGTCTCTCTGAATTTCTCTCAGTGGGGTGTTTACAGAAATTTAACTCTTTCGGTCCCAGATAGTGCTGAAATAAACACTGTCTATTATGAAGGTTTTGTATCCTAGAGCAACAACCGTTTAGTCTTATAGAGCTGAAATATGCAGCTTTGGCAGAAAAGTTGTTATAATAATAGCAACTGTAAAATAAAGGGTTAACATAGATGAGAATGGGATAGGGAAAGTAAAAAAAATGTGAACCCTGTATAGTGTAACCAATAACCATATGGTGAGTTCCGTGGTACTGAGAGAATCAAGGATTACAGGTAACAATTCTCCCCCCCCCTCTTCCACCAACTGTCCATTTCCTATTTCCTCTTGTTTCTCTTTCTCCTTCTTCTTCCTCCTCCGCAACTTCTTCTCCAAAGTATCCCAGTAAAGTCTTAAGGGAAAATGTATGAATCTTCTTTCTCCTTTTCTCTCATCCTCCTCCTTCTGCTTCTTCTTCTTCCCCTTCCCTTCCCTCTCCTCGTCCTTTTTCCCCCCCTAAATTCACATCATCAGAGTGTTGGGAAAGATGTTAGGATCTTCTGAGTGTTCTCTCCAAAATGCTTCCTAACAACAAAGTAAATCAGTCAGTTTAATAACAGTGTATACTACTATGGTAAACTGCCAGTGGGAGCTAGACCTTTGCAGAATGTTCCGCTCATCCCCATATGTGGCAAAACTATCGATGTTTTTCTAGTTTTCCCAGCCTCATGCATTTTTTATGCCCGGAGTGTCTTTAACCTCCAGTGTCCACTTCCATTTTCGTCAACCTTAACTCCTCTTCCAGCAACCAATTCTATCATTACTTTTCTCTGAGCCCTTGTCATGTTTAAACATATGGCACTTTTCCATCTTTCCTGCTTGCCTGCAGATTAGAAGGTCATGGGTTCAGGTCCTGGCCGTACCTGACTTTTTTTTTTCAAAATGACCTTGGCTCTCAGGTTGACCCAGCCCTGAGTGTGTGCTGGGTGGCGTCCTGGAAAGTAAAGGCGGCCAGCATGATGCTGACCATGTCACCCCCTAAGTGCTGATTGGTCTATAAATTCTAGGTCTAGCTCTTAAAGCCCAATGTGCCTAAATGCGTGGAAAAGGCTCCTTTTTAAAAACAAAATATTTCTAGATGTTCCACAAATATCACTAGTCAAAGTGTTAACATGTTTGTTAGAAAGTTTCACAATCAACGGACCATGTGACAATTGTTCACTTTTGCACTGGACACTGCAGACTCAACAAACACTCATCTAAATTAGGTACGAGCCAAACAGCTCTCTGTCAGTGCCTTCATGCTGCACAGACTCCACAGTATGTCTTACAAGACTGTCCTCTTTTGGCGGATCTGCGAATCAACATGTGGTAGAAACCTAAGAGACCTTGAGATGATATCCCAGTTTATGGCCCACAGCAGATTAAGCATATGACCAGAAATCACAGAAGAAGAAGGTCTATAAATTATAGGTCTAGCCCCATATGCCCAATAAGCCTTAAAGCATGGAAAAGGGTCACTAACTTTACTTACTTTTAGCTGTTGACTGTCACTATTTCTGACATTTTTTAGCTGTTGATCGTCACTATTTCTGACATGTTTTAGCTGTTGACTGTCACTATTTCTGACATGTTTTAGCTGTTGATCGTCACTATTTCTGACATGTTTTAGTTGTTGACTGTCACTATTTCTGACATGTTTTAGCTGTTGACTGTCACTATTTCAGACATGTTTTAGCTGTTGACTGTCACTATTTCTGACATGTTTTAGCTGTTGACTGTCACTATTTCTGACATGTTTTAGCTGTTGATTGTCACTATTTCTGACATGTTTTAGCTGTTGACTGTCACTATTTCTGACATGTTTTAGCTGTTGACTGTTACTATTTCTGACATGTTTAAGCTGTTGATTGTCACTATTTCTGACATGTTTTAGCTGTTGACTGTCACTATTTCAGACATGTTTTAGCTGTTGACTGTCACTATTTCTGACATATTTTAGCTGTTGATCATCACTATTTCTGATTTTGTGTTAGCTGACATCAGTATTTCGAATTGTTGTTTAGCTACTGACTTCAAGTACTTTCAACCAGTTTCAGCCAAGGATTTTCAACCACAACAAACAGTTGACAATTTACCTGATAAGATAAAGTAGTCCCGAAACACTGGGAACATGAACTGTCCTGATAGCACAGTGAGATATGGTTTAATTCCTGCAAATTTGGCACTAAAATCTGTCCCTTCAGAGGCAAAGTTGATAAAATGGCTATGGCACATAACACCATGAGGATGACAGGCAAAAATATAGTTCTTTGATGGATCTATCTCCTGTGTCTTTATCAGCTGAACAGGAAAGTATGCTGCTCCCCACTTGAACAAAGGCCATCTAAAATAATAACAACAAAGAGAGGTCATAAAAAGCTTGAACGTAAGTTCAAAATATCTAGAAACTCTAAGGGAAATTTTCTGAGATGAAGTCTCTGGGAAAAAATATTTGACACGATCTGGGCTTCTATCATGACCCAGCCTACAATGGGTACCAGGTAACATCCAGGGAAGCAGAGGTGACAGACATGATGTTCATCAGGACATCAAATCACCTAGGAGTAGAGGTGACGGACATGATGTTCATCAAATCACCCAGGAGCAGAGGTGACTGACATGTTGCTGACCACATCACCCAGGAGCAGAGGTGACTGACATGATGTTCACTAAATCCCCCAGAGGTAGAGGTGACTGACATGTTGTTCACTACATCATTCACAAGTGGAGGTGACTGCCATGATGTTCACCACATCGTTCAGAAGTAGAGGTGACTGACATAATGTTAACCACATCGCTCAGAGGTAGAGGTGACTGTTATGATGTCAACCACATCACCCAGAAGTAGAGGTGACTGACATGATGTTCACCATATCACCAAGAAGTAAAGGTGACTGATATGATGTTCACCACATTACCCAGGAGTAAAGGTAACTGACAAGTTGCTGACCACATCACCCAGGAGTACAGGTAACTGACAGGATGTTCACCACATCACACAGGAGCATAGATTTTCTTCTTATTCTCTGCATTCACTGACTGTAAACCCTAGCAGAAAGTTCTGGTCTTTGATCCAGCAATGGATTTTAGTCTTCCTTCAGAACCTGAGTTTTACACTTACATCTGTTTTACAGATCTGGCTTATTTGTATGCAGACACTTAGTTCCTGGTCTCTCAGGCAGGTAAACTCCCACTTCAAAGGAAGCCACCAATTAGTCAACTCCTATGACATGTTTGTTGGGGTGGCAGTGAGTCTGTTCTTGTTTTCCCCACAATGGAGCCCCAGAACCAACACAGGGAGAGTAGACGAGACTGACGTGATGTTAACCACATCGTTAGGGAGCAGAACTGACTGACAAGACATTAACCATATCACTTGAAGAATGTCAGCTGGTCTATCAAAATATGTGGTTAGAACTATATGATGGAAACCCTCAAGAAGGACCTTACTACTTTTACTTACATCCAACAGCACACTTATATTTTATAAATGTTTATGGGTTTATTACTTATTTACTCACTTAGTCAATACTCTTCTGCCTTGGGGTATTGAGGCTTGCCAGAGAGATACCCAGACATCTCTATCAACAGTTTTCTTTCTGACTTTGTTCCATTACAATTTTCTGTCAGTCAGGAAATGTTGGATGTTGTTCTAGCGAACCCTGAGTCATCCTGGATGTCTGGATTAATGATTCCAGGTTTCCTATGCCTGCCATGGAGGTTGATGCTCTTACATTCTGCATACACATCCAAACCATCATAACTGTGTCTCTGGGTATGATCCAACTGAGTTTTTTGGAAGCCTTAGGTTTCAAGATCTAGATGTATTGTCTGGTTGTGAACTTTGCTCCTTCTTGTCACTTAGACCACATTTCTCAAATACTTCATTTCTAAGACCTGAAGCTGGCTTCTATTAGCTTCTTTTTAAGAATTTATAAACAATTGTGATAGTCTGCTTGTTACAAGCCAAGCAAGTATGACAACTGTTTAGCCCCATTTTTAAGTGGCCAGAACAATTCCAGAGCCATGCTGACAGGGAAGACCATCTGGTCTCTACCGGGGACAGAAACTGGACCACTGTCTTGTTACAATCAAAAGCTACTTTATTGGAAGACAAAATGCAAAAGTAACAATGACTAACCTGCGCACCCATTCTGATCTCCTGCCTCCACGCTGACTCACTGGTCGATCGTACAGGTACCATGCAAAATAGGCCAGGGGGATTAAGTAGTAATCCGTGAAAAGTAGCAGATACAAAAACAAAAACAGCATCCCGAAGCCAAAGAAAAGGAATGCATAAGTGTGATGTAAAACTCCTATTGTCTGTAATCGTCTTTCTAGGGGGATATTCAAGGGAGCAAACTCTATGCCCAAGATCTTCATGATGAACCTGAAAATTATGTTCAGTATTCATAGTTTTAGTAAATAAATATTAGTGAATAAAAGTTTTATCTCACAGTACTTTTGTACACAATAATTAGAGTTGCATAATACTGGTGGGTGTTTTTTTTTTTTAGTCAGCCTTCTGGCCCAGCATTTTCAGCTTCACCATCTCTTCAGAGGAAATGTGGGCTCATTCCAGTTGCAAGTGGCTGAGAGACTGATTATTGCATATCCAATTTCGTCCTTTTTAGGACGAAATTTTTTGTTATTTGAAGCCCTACTCTGGCTTTTGCCAGGGGCTGCAATATAGGCAGGCCATATATATGGCCAAATGTCTGAACGCGGTTTCTAGGACCTCTCCACGGCGATCCTCATCCACATGGTGGCACTTTGTGTCATCGGGTGTTTATCGCTTGTGTGATGTCCTGGTGGGGTAGAAATTCAGTTCAGTTCAGAGACTGATTTTGCTGTTAACTAATTTGTCCCAGCCAGTTTCCTGCTGATTGTTAAAACCCCAACCTTCCAATGAGGAGAGCAGGGTCCATCACATGTAAGTGAGGCAAAAGTGAGCGAAAAAGAAAAAAAAACATGTTGTGTGCTTTATTAACTCTTTGCTATGAAGTACAGTTACCTTTAATTTATCTCCATTGTTACAGGCAGCAAATCTTGGATTGTCACTGAACAAATTAAGAAGAATTTGGAAGCAACAGAGATGTGGTTTCTGAGACGAATGTTACGAATACCTTAGACAGCCAGAGTAACTAACAATGATTGCTTGAAAGAGGCTAATAAAAGTGGATCTCTATATATAACAATAAGAAAGAGACAAATACTGTTCTTTGGCCACATAATGAGAAGAGAGACATTAGAGAACATTGTAACAACTTAAAAGATCAGTGGGAAAAGTGGTAGAAGCAGACCAAGAGAGATGATGCTGGATGGGCTAAAACGATGGCATGGAGGGATATCATCAAGAGAGCTGTTCCAGTCAACCAGGGATTGTGATCTGTGGAGACGCATGAGCGCCTATGCCAGTTGGCAGGGCACATGATGAGGATGATGTTACAGGATTGTCTTACTGCGCCATGTAACCATGTGATAGGTTAACTTATTCAATAAAAAGACTTGTATCATCATCCTCCACATTTGTTTTCAAGCATCACAAGGAGGAACTGTGTGATAGTCTAGTGCTGGATAAGTGGCAGCAGCTTTCCTTTATCTTTTAAAACTATTTCTAGACCAATATTTGAGAACTGGTGCAAATGTGACACTGCATTCTTCTCCTTCAAGGGTCTAATGTAAAATGGGCCAGCATGCTCTGTTTGTGATCCATTAAAAAAAAGAAAATGTTAAAGTTTGTTCGTTTCTTGTTCTTTATTCTCTTATTAATACATTATGAGGTTCTGGTTGCCATATCATTGGATAATTAGGAAAATATGTTATATATTTACATCACAGAGACATTTCATCACTTTTGGTACTTCTAAATTAATATTTTCTTGTACATTATTTATATCATCAATACATTACTATTTTATTTGTAACTTGCACAGCTCTGCTTAAAAAAAAAAAAGTAGTAGTACTTAACTTAGTACAGAAACTATATTAACTCTTTGTGGACTAATCACCACTTAAATGGCGTTTGAATAAATACTGCTAGGACTAATCGCCATTAAAGTGGCGTTTGATAAAGACACACTAATACTGTTTCTTGTGCTAGGAAAACAAATTTGTATGAACATGTTTTGAAAAACTAGAATTAGCGACAGGAAGTCCTTTTGTTTTTGAAGTTTAGCATGGCTTTTGTGTCACTTTATTAATTCTTTTAAATGTTTTAGATGTGATACGATTTTTGCCTGATTTTTTAATAGCAAATGATAAGGGAAAAGGTCTAGAACTGTTTATACTTCTCTGTTGTTGATGAATCGCAGCCAGATAGTGACAGTAGTCTTGATATTGTGATTGATAATGCATGTGCAAAATTTTCTGCGGATAATTTAGGTGAGTGTAAAGATTGAACAAACTTTTTCATTTGGATTATGTGTTTCAATCAGCTGTTTTCCCGATTTTTTGTTGTTGTGAAATCTGACATGTCATACAAAAATGATCATAAGATCTAAAGTATTCTAAATAATTGTTTCAAACAAAAACAAGCTGATACATAATTGAACAGAGAAGGCATGTGAATTCTTAGAAATGGATAACAGTGCTGTTGAACAACAAAAAGTAAGGTAAGCACAAACAATTTTTATGTAAATAATCTTCATGTGTCTAACACCCTTGTCAGGACATTGTTTGTACAGTCATGTGGCAGTGCATACCATAGAGATGGTGTACCATGTGTAGAGGTAGAACCCAGAGTTGATGGACAGGTCATCACGGTGGTAGCATGACTGTCCAGGTATGTACTGTAATAGCTAAGAGGAAACTACTGCTCAGCGAGATCTAATGGTGACAGCAATCAAGTGCTGAAAGAGTGAACTCTCTTTCTGGTGGGTTCATGATGCTACATGGCCCTAGCTGAGTGAACTGACCATGACAAAAGTCACGAGTTGGGAGTCAAAGGGACATTCAGGATTCAGACAGGAGACAGGGATGTAATTAGTTGGAAAGAATAGAATGTTAGGGTGTTATAATAATATTTTAGTGACTGCATAGATTGTGCTAAGTGTTTTTAGTGACTGCATAGATTGTGCTATGTGTTACGTTATAATAGTATAGTTTCTCTGTGTTATGCAGCGTCTAACAGCGACAGGTGTTGTGTTGTTTTCTAATGTGTAAGTAGTGTTGGTATAATCTGATAAGTAGAATCGGGCATTGATATGGCTTTTGTGATGATTTCTATCCCTAGCACACTGGCCTCCCACATGACGGACGCTGATGTTGTCCAGTGGCATCGGAAAAGAGCGCATCCCACATAGGTATTATTTGCGGACCCGGGATTTACCCATGGAAACCCATTGGGGTGTTTAGTGAATGTAAGGTTAGCACGCCAGGGTTTTGGGCAATAGGTGCCCACACAGTGGGAAGTCAACTGTCCTACTGTTTTATCTGTGATTTACATTAAAGACTGTCATGAGTGCTCCGTAGGTGTCCAGTTTCAGTGTGCATTAGGGTAGACTATCTGTCACAGGCCCACATAGTGAGCCACGTACCATAAAGGTCAATTAGAGGTTGGTAACAGTTGTGTGATTTTAATGTTTTGTGGCTCTCCTCCGAACTTCTACCCGATATTTTGGCGGCCAAACAAATATGCTTACGGGGCTCAGTACTATTACAAATTTGTGAACTTCCGGCGATGAACGATCGCGGCAAAACTAGGATCGGCTACGTATAACGAAACAAATGCTCTAACAGGGTCTCAGCGATGTTACTTGCGAACCTGTTTCTGTGACTGTGCCTCACCGCCGACCGTATTCTCCCGTGCCACTTTGTGCAGCGCGGATGGGGGCTAAACAAGATGGCTAAACAAGATGCTATTATCGTCTGCTAGTATCATCTGCAGAAACGCTCGAAATTGCCAACGATCGCTATTATCGTCTGCTACTATCGTCTGCAATGTTGCATCTCTTGAAATTGTCAAGTAATCCTAGTTTTGCAGCGATTTGTTCCTTGGCAGAAAGTCGACATTTTACATATGCCTGAGCCCCGTAAGGATATTTTATGGCCGCCATAATATCGGGTCGAAATTCAGAGGAGAGCCTTTAGATTATTGTGCACTCATTTATTTTTAATTTGATATATTATATTATATATTCCGATACAGCCAATAATTTTTTACAAAAAATATTTAGCTTTGTTGTGATGCAGTTGAAAAAAAAAATTCGCTCAAAAATTAAATGCAGTCCCAAAAAAAAAAAGAGTCTTGAAAGAGTTAATGGACGTTGCAGAACCAACCCCAATGTTTTGTTTTTTCCTGTTGTTTTTTTTTTTTTTTTTAATTTCAGAATAAATTTTATGTTCAGAGTTTGCCCTTGTTTACTGAATGAACTCTCAGCTCTCGGTACCATTGTCGATGCCAACGCAAGACAAATTGTGCGCGGCTGGAATCGAACCCGGCACCCTGGCATTATTATTTTTATTGCGAAGCAGTTAGCAACCTCTAAACCACAGACGCCGATCAACGTAAAAATAAAATAACCACAAAGCGTCTGGTAGTAGAACTGTTTTTATCCAAACAGTTTGTTTGACCTTTCATGGTCATCACTGTCAAATATTAACAAAGCGTCGAGGTGACAAATTTCTTACACAATTATAGTGTTACCGTCACAGAAATCTGCAAAATTGTCCTTTTTTTTCAGTTATTGAAACCGGAGTTGACCTTTGTAGTTTGCGAGTAAGTGCCCCTGAGGACCTTTGACCTTAAGAGAGGTCACGAATCTGTTTACAAACATTGAAGTCTCTCATTATTATGTAAATGACCCTTTCCCACGCCTTCAGTTGTACTGGGTATGTGGTACAAAACCTATATGTTAGAGACCACTCGGCACTCGGTGGGTAATGTCGTTATAATCCCGCCTGCCGGCTTTACTTCCCAATGTTGAATTACAAATCTACATCACAGCACTTGGGATATTCCCATAAGTGCTCAGTCACTATATTCAGCAGTGAAGAGTTCCAATTCCGATGGCACCAGTAACCTTATGATTGTAAATCAGTCTCATCCTTTCCCTGGGTGTTGAACGTGGCCAGATCCCCTGGTAGCTCTTCGCAGCGCCATTCTGTTTAAACCGTAATGATCTATCTGCGGCCCCGCACTGTTCACTCGCTCCCATAGGGCCCTCACAATATCTAACTCATCGTACATGAATTCACCACCAATTGGTGCAGAGCCAGCCAGTCTGTCTGCCTGCTCATTTCCCGACACACCGGCATGACCTGGAACTTTAATACATGTCTGCTACTATGGAAGGCTGGGTCTACCGGAGGTAATTTTTGAAACAAGTGCAACTCCGTTCGGATTTGAACCCACAACTTTCGTATCCGCAGGCTAGCCATCA